GCCAAAAATCCAAATTACGAAATCTACAAATCATATTTTAATCTGTAATTAATTAAATTAAAAAAAATCATATTTTAATCTGCCGATTGACAACACAAATATTCTGACTGACCGTTACGGTTTAAAAAGTAAGTAATGTCCGTACGGCGAATGTTTAGAGCTCGTCATGACAGCAAAAACCGTTAATAGACATTATATATTATTAACGCCATTGACCTATTCAGCTTATAGGCAAGCCGTTACGGTTATAACAATAAATTTTTTATTTAATATCATCGATCCTCCTTGCGAAATCTATGTAGACCCATGTTTAAACAATTTGTGCAAAAAAATACAGTTAAAAAACTATATCGTGCGGCAGTGTGAATATTTAAAATATATCATTGACTACTCAAACATAATTTTACATTTTAAATTATCATTTTGTATTCGTTTACTCGCATCTACTAGGTATAAACGCATACGGCAGTGTAGTAGCTATTCGATGGCTAGACCCGCACGCATTCAAATATGAAAAACTTCCCTTCTACATGTCGGGCCCACTCTAAATTTTTTTTTATTCAAAGGTAACATAATAAACTTTGATTTTATGCTAATTTAAAAAAAATTAAAAAATACCCATTGTTTAAAAATATGCAAAATATTGCAAAATTTAAAAAAAAAAATTGCAATTTTTTTTTTTGCAAAAACGGTATAGCCCATTGAAAAGTACGGAAAAAATCATTTAAGGTGGTTAAATTGAAATATTTAATAAAAAGATGAACAGAAGTTATGAATTTTTAAATAAAAAGCGATTTCACCAAAAAGTAATAAATCGATAAATTTCAATAATCCATAACTCTTGAATGAACAATCCTAGAGCAAAAAAATTTTATGCTATGATTCTTCGTTATAAGAAGAACAAATAAGTAAAGTTTAAACAAAATCGGTGACAAATTTTTTTTCATCTGGTACACTTGGCAAATGCAAGTCCGACCGCACTGGAAAGGACGGCTGTTCAATACCCGCGTGAAAAGAACAAGGATAGAACGCCAAATAGAATTTGATTGGCCAGAGCCCCGGATGCGTGCGAATTGTAAGCGAGGTCAACTCTGGCTGCCACTCTGGCTGCATTTAGACTAAATGATTTAGTGTAAAGCAAACTGCGTTAGAGTGGAGATGCACCTTTTAATTTTCTTTTTAAATATTTTATACCCGAATCCTAAAAATAAAATTTTTTGATTTTTTTTCTTGAGAACTAGGGCAACAACAAAAATAGTATTCTTAATAAAAAAGATTTCTCAAATAAAAATAACTAAAAATAAAAATAAAACTCTAAATAAAAATATAGACCAGTGCAGAAGCCTTTAAAAATGGCAAAAAGAGAAAAAAAATAACAGTAGGATGAAACCCATTGGAAAAGGAGGGAAATATAATAAAAATTAAAGGAAAAATAAATTACGGGCGATCTGAGTTCGGGAAGTGGGAGGGGGGGGTTTTAAGGGTAAAAAATGGTTTATCTCGATTTCCGGCAAAACTACAAGTCCTATGGAAAAAAGTTAAATGTCAAAGTTGTAGGTAATAAAAAGATCTACAACTTTTGTATTTACAATTTTTTCACATAACCTCAAAATTTATGTGAAAAAATCAAAAAACCAAGTTTTTGGTTTTTTATTTTTATCTTTTTCAAAAAAAATTTTTTTTTCATGAAATTTGGTGAAAACTTACCTTTTTATGTCCCAAATACACTGTAATTTATTTGATTTGAAATATTTATTATTTCGCCTTATTTTGACTTAATATCAAAAAAGCACCCTAATTTTCAATCAAAAATTCTCGCGTCAAAATATCAGCTTTTTTCAAAAAGTCGGTGTGCTTTTTGTTCGATGAACTCTCTACTTTCTGATGGTGTAAAAAATATATACATTACTATGGTAAATTTTCTCAGAAAATACAAAAAATATTATAATGAATAACGTAATCAGAATGAACTATCTAAATTCAATAGTATGATTTACATGTATTTTTATATTTTATGAGATTTTCTGACATAAATGTTATTAGAATTTAATAAATAAACTTTTTAACTAAAAAAAATTGCAACAATCACATTTTTTTGATGAAATTGTACATAATGATTAAAATAAATTTTCGAATTCGAGTTTTTTTCGTTATTCATTATAATATTTTTTGCATTTTCTGAGAACATTTACCATAGTAATGTATATCAGAAAGTAGAGATTTCAACAAACAAAAAGCACACCGACTTTTTGAAAAAAGCTGATATTTTGACGCGAGAATTTTCGATTGAAAATTAGGGTGCTTTTTTGATATTAAGTCAAAATAAGGCGAAATAATAAATATTTCAAATCAAATAAATTACAGTGTATTTGGGACATAAAAAGGTTTTCACCAAATTTCGTGGAAATTTTTTTTTTTTTTTAAAGATAAAAATAAAAAACCAAAAACTTGGTTTTTTGAATTTTTCCCATGGGTTTCATCCTACTGTTATTTTTTTTGGTTTCAAAAATTATCGACCCTGGTCTAATAAAACTCTAAAAATAAATAAACTGAAAAATTAAATTAAATGTTCGAACAAGCAATTATTAACGGTTCGTCGAATTGTTTCTCTGTTTGGTCTGGCCTCGAACATTCCCGCAAATAATCTTTGAATTTCTCGTTCAGAATTACCAGCAAAATGCCAGATTAAAATCTGAACTTTTTGTTCCAACGTGTACCTACATTTTTTAATTAAATAATCTTTTTTACTAAAATTACTACCTCTTGCTGGCACCACTGCAGTTCTCGTTCTGATATCCTCGTGTCAAGCACGCTGCGAGGTGCGCGATGGGTATGCGTTGTCGTAGCCTGCCGGCTGGCCAATCAAATTCTATTTGGCGTTCTATCCTTGTTCTTTTCACGCGGGTATTGAACAGCCGTCCTTTCCAGTGCGGTCGGACTTGGATTTGCAAGCACTGTATATGGCCTTTCCATCTCAAATCGACCAGGCAAAAAGGGGTAGGTCGTTATTTTTTAACGAATTTTTATTTTACAGTTTCTCTACCGAAATCGATGGGACCTGTATTTTATCTTTTCTTAAATTTGTTTTGTTCACCCTTAGGAAACTTTTGAAAAATGGACAAATATCGATTTTTCCCTTCTTACGAGTGGCATTTTTTCTTAAAAATGCGATAACATGGCCAAAACTGTTTCGATCGATTGTAGGTAAATGTGCGGGTTTTAGGAGCTTTCAAAAATTGAAAACTATTTTTTTTTATAAAAGAATATCTGTTAACCGACCAAAATTTTTTGGAATTGTTTGTGTTCTACATTTCTACGAAATCGCGTTTTTATAAGTTTCTTATGAATTCGATTCATTACTTTTAGGCATGTAATACTTACTTTTTATTGTTTTAACCAAAATGAACTTACGTATATTTTTTACATTTTTTATCAGTAACTAACACATGGAAAAATATTAAGAATTTACATTTTACTCTAAAATCTTTAATAATTTAATTTACATACTTAAGAGCATTTATGGTGAAACCAGAAATGACAAAAATATGTTAAATATGTCAAAAAGTTCTAAATTACACTTATAAAGGTCACCCCAATTTCATGACCCTAAATAAAATACCAAATTTTTTCGATGAACCACGAATTTACTAGATTTTCATGAAGAAAAAATAATAATTCCGAAACGACGAATTTAGCCAACTCGGGACTTTTGTTAAAAGTTGTTTGTTATTAACTTAAAAAAAAAATATGAAGTAAAAAAAAATGTGGCAATGGTCAAAATTTTGACCTCAATTTTTTGTTGCCTTCTTAGAAAAAACAATTTAAAAAAAAATGAGTAAATTTACTTAATTTTTTATATTTTTTTATATGTAGTATATATTTAGTAAATATTATTTACCTAAAATTCAAAACAAAATTTCAAAAATTTCCTACGGGTGAACAATAGATATTTGTGTATTAAGAGCGAAAAGTGATACATTGCCGCTCTGAGCGAGAAGTTTGACGCGCGACGCGTAGCGTAGTGCGGCTATCTCGCGAGAGCGGCTATCTCGCGAGAGCGGCAATGTCACTTTGCGCTCGAATTACACACAGGATTTTTTTCTACAACCGGTGTTTCTATAAGAAACGGGCGACAAAGTAAAAAAACGGTCGCTCCTCGGAAAAGTGCAACTTTGCGCTTTCTTTTGGAAGCGCAAATTTGTACTTTTCGCTTGGTTGTAGAAAAAACAAATTTAAGCAAAAAGAAAAAATACGGGTCTCATCAATTTCGATGGAAAAACTGAAAAAAAAATTTTGTTGGTTATTTTTATAATGAAAGTTTTATTTATTTACATCATTATTAATTTAATTGTAAATCGATTAACATAAAAAATCTAAAGTGAACAAAATACTCTCAAAAATATATACAACCAAAAAATATGAGGCGCCGCTTGTTTTAAAACTAAAAGTGGAAAATAAACTTATTTTGCTTTGTAAATAATTATATGCATTATTTACCATAATAAATATATTTAATATATAATATTTTTTCATCAATTTTTTTTATCAAAATATTTTTTATCAAATTATTTTTTTACCAGATTATTTTTTATCAAATTATCTTTTATATCAATTTTTGTTTATCAAATTATATTTTATCAAATAATTGAGGACGGGCGCCTTTTATCAACTTTTACGCAAGCCTTTACCCAGGGGGGATATAGCTCCTATCTCACAGTACAGAAGCGTCCAGATAACTCGTTGTATTTCAAAATGCCTAATGCCTGCAGTCTTTTTATCTCAGATATATCTCTGGTCTATCTTTGCGTGCTGGCAAGCTGAATAAACGCTATAGGAAGGAGATAAATTAAAATTTATTTTTACATTTAAAAAAATGTTAAAAAATTATTTGATAAAATAAAATTAATAAAAAAATAATTTTATGAAAAAAAAATTATAAATATCTCTAGATTAAACTTTTTTCTGACTAAACATATAAATTAATCCAAACTTTTTTTAAGGCACGTTTTTTGCCCTCTCCGACGGAATGCACTATGGCTGGACCGCCCCCGCAATCCCCAAGTTAACCCACCCCGATAGCCCAGTACAAACCACAAAAAGACAAGCAGAACTTCTTGAAACCGTCCTCATGTTTGGTGCATTTTGTGGCTTACCCCTGACGATATTTTTCGTGAACAAAATCGGACGAAAATATTCTCTACTGTTGGCTTCGTCGTTTTCGCTTACTGGTTGGGTGCTTATAGCTCTGGCGAATCATATTTACGTGGTTTTTATAGCGAGGTTTTTTGCTGGACTGGCGGGCGACATGGCATTTGTAGCCGCCCCAATGTATATAGCGGAGATTGCCGATCAGAAAATACGAGGGTTTTTATCTAGTCTTATCTATTTAATGATGCTGACAGGAATAATTATGGTGTACTGTATAACACCATTTACACCATTGTATGTACCACCAATAATTGGAGGTGGTTTTGTTTTATTAGAACTAATAATATTTCCCTTTATGCCAGAATCACCATATTACTTGCTCACAAAAGATAAACGCGAAGAAGCTAGAGCAGCATTACTAAGACTAAGAAATACTGATAACATTGATAAAGAGTTTGAAGAGATAGAGTCAGCTCTAGCACGACAAAAAACTGAAACTGGTAGACCACAAGATCTCTTATTGGTATCCAGTAATAGAAAAGCTTTACTGATTATGAGTGTTTTAAATGCCGCTCAACATTTCAGCAGTATTAGCGTAATGCTTATGAATTTGCATTTAATATTAGCATCAGCAGGTTCAATATACATTAAAGACTCTACAGCTGCTATTTTATTCTCTCTTGTAATGTTAACGTCAGCTCTATGTTCCTCACTACTCATGGATAAATTCGGAAGGAAAGCATTACTTATAAACTCCAGCATCCTAACAGGGTTATGTTTGCTGATCATAGCCACTTACTTCCAATTCAAACACACAGGAGCAAATATGGACTCAATAAGTTGGATCCCAGTAGCTACAGTAATGCTATATGCAGCCTGTTTTAAGTCAGGTTTAGGTTTAGTACCGATTGTTCTTACTGCAGAATTATTCCCAACAAAACTAAAAGCAATTGGAATGACTTTGGCGGATGCTAGTTATGTTGTATGGGCTATGATATCTCTCTCAGTGTATCAATTATTACACGATAGGTTTGGAATGCATGTTCCATTCTTCGTTTATGCTACCTCGTGCTTCTGCACTGCCATTTTTACGTACTTTGTGATACCAGAAACAAAGGGGAAAACATTAGATGAGATTCAGTACATTCTTAAAGGTGAAGTGCCTCCGTCCAAGGAAGATTTGGAAGGGGCTAATCAAGAGTTTATTAAGAAATAAGTAATGTACAGGGTACCTCTAAGACTTGATGTTAATTAAATGTAGAATAATTATTCCAATTTTAAATCTTGTAGGTACTTTTAAAACAATGCATATCTGTGATGAAACATGGTATTGTACTTTTGTAATACAAAAGTAATGTATTTTAGAGTAAATGTGTAGTTTTAAGGATCAATGACAAATGTGTATCTTGTCTTGTAATTTATTAAATATTTTTTTACACAAACTTTGTTTTACTCTACCCTATAGGGTATATATAACTAAACCTTATAAATTATAAATTTCTTATCTTTGCACTTTCATACTTTTTAAATTTAATTTTTAATATAATTTGTAAGGAATTTTGAAGAATAATAAAAAACTTTATCATCCTTTATCTCAAAAAATTTTGTTTTTACTGATCACTAATTACCAAGGACCGGATTTTAGGCAAAATGCCTTTTTGTTTCTATTTTAGGCATTTGTTTGGGACCTTGAAATTAATTCTAAACTTAACAAAATAAAGCGTTTGACACCCCCTTTGTTTTTGCCTAAAAGCCTAAAATGGCGAAATTTTGATTTATTAGTAAAAGGACATTTTTATGAGCCTAAAATAGGCTCTTTTAATTTTTTAGTAAAAGGACATTTTTATGAGCCTAAAATATGCTCTTTTAATTTTTTAGTAAAAAAATATATTTTTCATTGCGGAAAAGTAAATTATTCTTAATTAGACCTTGCTTTCATGCTCTTATTTCGCCTAGACGCCCTTGGCGAGTACGAGGACCACAAATTACAAAACTAGTGAAAACCTAATAAAAAAAGTAATTGTGTTTTTGGTATCTACATATTTATTAGGGTATAAATAATTATGTATAAATAATTATGGATAATATTAAGTTTGTAAAATAATAGTTGGAAATTATTATTTACTTTGTTTTCATAGGTTTTACTGTAATTTCCATAAAAGGGCTTAAAGAATATTTTCTTGAAAAAACCCCTGAACACTTAAACTGAGATATAACTTAAAGTATTTTTACCCAAAATTTTATAAAGATTGGTAAAGGCGTTTTAGAGTTGGATTTTTTTACTTGTTATGCGTTAATTTTGACGCGCAGTGTATATATATATATTTATATATTGGCAAAAGATTTGCTTTAAATTTTAAAAGTAAGGTTTTCCTTTTGTTTATTCATATGGGCAATTGTTTACAAGAGTTTGTGTTATTATTTTTATTATGTATTTTATATTAAGAGATACATATGTATTTTTTGTTTTATTTTTATTGATAGGACCTGAATAAATGTTATGTTTAATCGAGTCGTTTTTATTTCATATCGCCTATTTTAGGCGGTTGAGTCCTATTTTAGGCACTTTCGGCCTAAAACGGCCTAAAATGTAGGTTTTTATTGCCACATAAGTGTCCTAATTTCCAATTTTTAAGGTCCTAAAATCCGGTCTTTGTCAATTACCTCTTATTAAAATTGCAGTATTTATATCCCTAACACCTTGTATTTATAAATAATTTTTATACAAAATTCATAATTTTAAATTATCATAATAATAATAAGAAGAAATTATTAAATAATAAAAGGCTTTATTTATAAATAACAGTAATACTAAAAATAGAATATAATACAAATCATTGGTAGTAAGTTACTTACTAAACAAGCTTATTCTCGCGTATTTATAAATAATACAATACTTAAGTATTGTATTATTTATGAAAACGCGAGAATAAGCTTTTTTATTTGGACTTAGACTTGGTTTAGCACTATTAACAGCTCTTCTTTCATCTAACCCTTAACTAATATAAAAAAGAAAAATATCATAAGAGATTTTCAAATAGGTAAATAAATTTATATTGGGGTGTTTAAAAAAATCTACCATTCTTCATTTTTGACTAATACTATCAAAAAATTGGTTATTGGGCACGTATGAGGTCCTAGTATTAAGAGTAAAATCCTACTCATTGCAATTTTTAATTTTTACATTAGTCCGATAAAAAACATGTTGTATCTTGCTAATAAATGAATGTAAAGCTAAGCCAAAAACATATTTTAATTAAATTCTCCACAAAAAAAGTATTTATGTTTTTTTTCGAAAACCTATCCATTTAAAAGAATATTTTAGGTCAAAATTTAAAAAGTTTTTAAAATATTTTTTGTTTGAACAAAATAAAGCAGAACCATTTAAATTTGTAATCTCATTTTTAAAATGGTAGGTACCTACATATATGATTATGTAAATTTAATTTTGTTAGTTAATTACTGCAAAATATGACAGATTGTTTAAGGAAAACTAAAATTTTAATGTCATATTTATTAAAAGAAGATGTTACGAAATAATAAATTTAAAAAATATATAGCTCTTATAATATTGCTAAAAATTTATACTGAAATCCCGTATTTGTAGAAAATATACATTGAAGAAAAAGATCACAAAAAACTTCTTGACTGTGAAACTGAAGATTAAAGATTCTAAAACCAATTTTGGAGTTAGTTTTTACTATGGTATTCTTAGCACCACTGTAGCATCAATAAGTTACCTCATTAAAATACCATACAACTACATAATAACATCAACTGACATTTTGAAAAATGTAAACAAATTGTACCAAACTATACAAATTTACCATATCTTTAATATTTAAAAGCCTAGAATTGTATAAGGATGGTTTACAGTAACATTTAGGATACCATGTCCTTGGGGTATTAAAACTAAAACCTTTATATTAGCCATAATTTTTTTTACATTTTACCAGACAGGCATATTTTTTATCGATATATAATACTAAGAGTTCAATATTTCTTGAATTTATTTTTTAATTTTGGATTTAAAACTGCTGTTACACATGACCGTCGTATGTCCCTCGAGCAAAATCCAATAAAAGATAATGGAAGTACAAAAATATGTTTCTAATAAATAAAATCTTAGTTAGTGATTTCTTGCAGGGATATGACGATATGGTTTTTAAATGACTTCTTAAAGATTAATAATTATGATAAAGAGACTTAAGAATATTGTGAGGACAAAATTTGGAAAATTCAAGTAAAAATGATATTATTGCTCTTGAATTGTGTGAAGTAGGGGCTAGCTACTTATGCAGTTGTAATTATATTATAATATTATTTTGGTTATTATAAAGATTATAAAATAGCTTATATCGCAGAATTTATAAATAATTATATTATTTATGTTTTTAAGTATTATTTTTTAATTTTATAAAAATGTTTTTTAGCATTTGTAAAGTCTTATTTTATTACCCAAGGAGATTATACTTAAACATTTTGGTCACAGAACAAACCATTTTTGGTTTACTGTTTGGCTTTGTTTTTATTGTTTACTTTGTTTTGAGCATTTACGATTTTTGGACCTTTTTTTATCTCTGTTTGGAATGTTTTACATAGATATTTACATAGATTGTGCTCCTTAATTTAATTTAGAATAATTTTGTTCATTTAGGGTTAGGATTTTTTAGATTTAGATTAGGCTAGTGGTTTTCGTTTGTAAACAAGTTTTATTATTGTTAAACATTTTCTATTTTATTTAAACTATTCGAAACATTTAAATTATTCTAATAGTTTTAATATTCGATTTAAAATCTGAAGCGGGATTTATAGATCTGATTATTTGATTTATAGATCTGTTATCTATGGATCTGACTATTTGATTTTTAATATAACCTAAATTCCTAAACTGACATTTGTATTTATTCATAACCAACAAACATTATTGATTTTTTTAATCTCCCACTTTTGAACTGCACATGCGCAAAAGATAAATAATAGCCAGCTCCCCTTAAAAACGGGAACAAGGTCTATTCAAAATATAGGGAATAAGCGGAATATGTGTGGTAAGTATATGGGAAACTCTCCCACCACTGCCGTCTAGAGCTACAATACCTAAAGAATACCTAAACAATATCTATTTGTAAATTGCAGACATCTGTACCAACGCTATTGCAAATGTCAATCATAATTATTGAATTATTAAATACATTTTTGCGACTTAAAATGATAAAACGTGTAAATGGTTGTGAAATGTATTGTTGTTGGGTGCGGAATTGTAACCAAGTATTAACTATCCTGCCGTCCTAAGCTAAAAGACGCATATCATTATTATTAACTTATTCTCTTAGCAAAAAATACGCATTTTAACTACATTTTTAATTACTATAACTCTATACCTATAACTCTTAAAAATTGGTAATTAAATTGAACGTATCTTAAGAAAAAAACAATAAAGCGCAATAATAAGTAAAAATGTTGAAATGCGTCTTTTTGGCTTAGGACGGCAGTTTTGCTCTAGCGTAAAAATACTGTTTGTTAATTATAAATTATTTAGGATTGCTTGTAATTTGGTCCTGGCCAAGTCCACGCTTCTTATGGTTGTTCCAAAACCAAGTGCTGGCAAGATGTATTTTTCACGGTTTGTTAGAACTTGACAATAGTCAACACTCAAAAGCCTTGTAAGTACTGTAATGGTTCCGTAAAAAATACCTCTTTATAAATTTATTAGAATACATGTTTATAAATATATTTTATTTTTCTAATTTTAAAAGAGGATTAAGTTATAAAATTTTATTTTAAGGCAAATAAAATTACTTTAGGTAGAAAATTTGTGAGCTTGAGAAAAAATACATTTGGCATACAGATTAGATGGGGAAATTCCACCCAGAGGAAGACGAAGAGGGTTTTTGAAAAAGAACACAGGCATTTTGAACTTGGTACCGTACAGTTCGTTTTCATTGGTAAAATTGTAAAATTAAATTATTGTTCTAAAATCATTGTTAAAAGTGTTGTTAGCGTATTATACAAGGTTAGTTCTAAATATTTAATCTATCTAAATGTGTAGTAAAATTAACTAAACGTAATATTGTGCATTTTTAAATTGTTAATATTATTATTGTATGATTATTGCTATTATATAATAAACTCATATGAGTATATTTATCCTTCACTATTACGTTTAGCTGTATTTTACGTTATTTTTTAACCCTTTTCATTTAGCTATTACCACACCTATTTTCGTTTTTACTGTTATCCCTATAATTTTAATAATTTGCTATGCCCAATGCTTGTACTGTCAAATCTAACATTTTAATTTGTTTTATGCTTAACCAAACATTTTGTACCTTTTCTATAACGTGGTTAAGCATTGTTTTATGGTCAGTCCAAATTTATTGATGTTTTGCGAAATTACTCGGTGCTTAAACAGTGCTGACCGTTATTGTCCAACTTTGAGTACTCTTTGTTTGTCTGCGTGGGCCTTTGTTGTATGAACTAATATTTTTCTCCAGTGAGGGGAACTGGTTGTCCTAGGTTCTCTAGGGCTGCATCGCTTTTCCCCGACCTCTCAACTAAAATAGGCGGGTTGCCTCCCTTTTGTGGACCCCGTTACATTCTGGGCATAGCCCGGCTAACTAACACCAATATTCTTCAGTTTTAAATCTTTGTTTAAATGCAGTATCGAGCCATATCGCCAATACATTAATTTGCGTAATTTTTAGAGTACAATGCCTCACTGCGTATTCCTTTGCTACTTCATAGCCGACCAGGGTTTTTTCTAAGGCTCTTTTTCCCTGGCCGAACCCTCCTAAGAGCCACCCCTTGCTTGTTTGTAAAAAGTTAACGTAAATTAAATTGGCGTAAAGTAAATAATTTAATAAAACAGTAAGTAAGTAAACACAGCGTAGAGGTCCAAATTTGGCTAAGACGATCACGAGCCAAAGCCACAAAATATTTAATTTATCAATTTTTTATAAAACTTGTTTTAAACGAACCTGGGGTAAAGAGAAATCTTTACAGTACAAATTTCTATCCCTTAAGTTTGAAATCGTATAAGTAGGCTGGACTAAATTACCAAATTTTTCAATATTTTCTTATTATTGAAAAATTAAGACTTATATTTTTTTAGGTTTGCACTCCCCAAACAAAAACATATTCATGATATTAATTTACATTTGGTAACATGAATTGACTGCAGCAGACCCATTACTGTACCCAGTACAGTAATATACCGATTATGTACATATAGATGTATGTATATTATTTTTTATTATATTATTACCACAATAAATAAATCTTATATTCATACTTGTTTTATTTAAAATACAGCAGTAAATACAATATATAAAGGCAACCCACGAAGCATTAACATTCAAATATGGCGCCAATATATGTTACATAAATCTACTTCAATTTTTGGCATTGCTTTAGGTATTGTAGACCTAGATGGCGTCACTACTTTACTTTACTTTAGCCTCTTGCCGCTAGCGCTAGTGCATGGGGTGTATTATCTTTGAAAGATTTCACTCGACAAAAAAGTGTACTGTTTACCTCGCTTGGAATCGCAATTACTTCCTCAATAAATTCCGTCACTAGCCTATCGGCTCGATCGGAAACCTTTATCATCGGGAGTAATTGCTCGGTAAACTGCATTAGTTTTTACAATATATAATGTTGTGGTTATGTTTCTTTTTTAGTGTTAATCACATTCTTAAGTATGTATTTAAATATTATCGTTTTCATGTAAGATATTTTTTGTTATTATTAAAAAGTAATACCTACTTATTTTGGGTTTATCAATATGTATTAATATTTATGTATCAATGCAATAAAGTCGCATTTTTATTGCGAATGTGAAAATTATTTGTGCAAATAACCACGTAAGTGTTAAAAAATGTCTTTAATGCCTAGGTGTATATTAACTTTTTTATCATGAGTAAAACAACTTTTAAATTATAACACTCAGAAGTCTATATAAAAAGACCTAATTTTTGAATGCAGTTCATAAGTCAAATTATTATACACCGCCGTACAATAATGAAAATGCATTAAAATTACATAGAAAGAGTGCACTCTTTCTATCTAATTTAAATAAAACCATGGTTTTATCTATTGCATTTAGGTTAAAATCAGTGTAGATGTTATAAATTACAGTTAACTGTAAAATAAATTTATACACATAACTTATAATATAAAATGTAGCAAACTTAAGAATTTTAATGTAAGTAAAAAAGAATTATTAAACGCTAAGAAAAATAGTATATACAACAAGGCTCAACTTTAATAAACGCTTTCCCCGCCTGTTAGATAATGTACTATTATCCAAAATTAACTGATATTTATTTGTTATAATGAATAATTGAAACTGTTGATACATAAACATAAGCTACAAATGTCATTTGAAATTTGAATTAACAGTTTAAGTGTGTAGTATTTGCTGCGACTGTCATATTTTAAAATATCATTTGTTTGATGCAGCCATCTTTTAATTTAATTATAGAAATTAAAATATTATGTTGACTAAACAACATTTTATGAAAGTGTCTAATCGACTGGCGCATCGGTGCTTTTAAAAAATATTATTTGTTTGCTGCTGAGGACTAGTAGACACCTCCTAAAATGTTCATGTGGTTGCATACAATACTCGTATTAAATCGGCAGTAAATATTTACTTTACTGCTGACTTTTTCTACTTTACTGCCGATTGTTGACTACTTTACTGCCGATTTCGGATTAAAATATTCTATAAAGGTAAAGAGCGACAACAAATTTTTATTTGCACGACTTGCTCAAAAAAAGGTTTTTTACTATTTTTGAATGTCACTTAATATCGCTGTATAAACCTAATCTAACAAGGCCTTGTTAGATTAGGTACTTGCAAGAAATTGGTAAGTATTTCTATTATCCATATTTGTCATACAAAAGTTATTATTATTATGTTAAATTTTAAAACCCATAATTAATAAGTGTACTTTATCTTCATATTTATAAAATATTTTTTTTTTAATTACACTTGGTTTTATTGTAGTTACCTTGTAGGCAAATCGTTGTGAATTTTAAATTTCTTATCTTTATTGTTCTTTGCAAAAATGCAACTATGCAAAAAAAATCAATCAATTAAATAGCTGTAAAATTCATCCACTATTTTATGTAAACTCTTATATAATATAAATAAATTATAAACTATAATTATACATTTCCCCACTCCATACTAGTACAATGCTGTTGAACGTTAGTTTTTAAAAATAAAACCATATTCAATCGCGAAATATTGTTCCTATCATTGTTAACAATCGCGTGAGGCAGTTCGACAATAGTGCAAATGATTCATTAAAAAATATTTTTTAGTATTGGCAAAAAATAAGTTACGTTCGAAACATGGATACAAATAGTAATATATTTAAAGGGACATCTACACAACTTTTGGCAGCTGCTACAGGTAAACATTTTATTTAATTTTACTTTACTTTTTACAAAAACTTAAACATTTTAATATTTACTTTAATACATACTCAAAATCTCAAATATTATACTGCTTTTTTTCAAATCACCCATTATTTTTTTTAAGTAAGTATCACAACAAGCGTATTTGAAAATTATATTCTGATAATTGGATTCGAAAAAAAAAATTATTAAAATTATCCGATGTTTGTATGCCTTTTTAAAAATACTTAATAAAACAATTTGTATCCTATATTCCAATAGATTTAACTATGCGTACCTATTCATACTCAGCTCTGATATTTATTATGCATAGTAAAAACGTCTAGGTTAACATATACATTAAATATTTAAGTAGATAACATTTTGGCTATGGATCAAAATTATAATCAGAAAATAAAATATACACAAATAAAACCGTCAGCATTTTTGCTATTGTTTTTGAAACATACATTTTATTTGAGAAGAAATAAAGGAAATGTTTTTCCGACATAGTTGGAGTTTCGAAGAAAATGTTTTTAATTACCATTGTAGTTATTGTTAAAAAAAATATCGGCGTAAATGCATTTTTAATTTAATTAAACTCATATAAAATCTAAATTTATCAGTTACTAAAAAAGATCGATTGTTCAATTCCAAATAATTTAAGTACCAACGAGCCAATTAATTTTCATTTATACCAATTACCGCGTATTTAAGTGTATGTGTTACACATTGTTTTTATATTGTATTTCACAAAATTAATTTTTAGTAAAAATATAAATGTTTATATTTTTTAATATTAATTTTTAACTGGATTTTAATGAACTTATATTAACTTTATAAAGTATACTTAAATATATTTAAATTTAAGTAAAAGTTGTCTTAGCTTAAGTAAAACTAATCTTATTAGCTAATCTGGCCATATTAAAATCATAACTTTTTACTTAAACTTAACTTAAGGGAGACTAATCTAAGCTAACTTAAACCTATGTATATAATGAAGACAGGAGCTGCAGCATATAACTTTTGGCAGTCTTCTTTTTTCAAGGGCTTTATTTTAAACATGCTTTTGGTCTATCTGGTTAATAAGGACGTTTGTCCAGGACCATAAGGGTGGTGGTTAAGCCATAAATCCGTCCTAGTTGAAAGAAGAAGAAGAAATATCATGTAAACAAGAATCTTCCTAAGATAAGAGGGCGCTGGTGTTCCGTTTATTCTGAAACAATTGTTTAATTTGTACCGAAACGCTAATATCGACAATCAGCGCCGCTGGTGGTGAAAAAAAGAAACTTAATTTGTATACAAATTAAGTTTCTTTTTTCTTCTATAGAGGGCAGGTTTTGTTAATTTCCCCTATTAAGTTCGGGCTGCTTGTGTAGGCTCCATGGGTTAGATACTGGTTTGTGAATAAAAATCGTTCGTTTTTTTTAAAGAAAGCTAATGTAGAATTTCATTTTCAAACATTGTTTGGCAAAATATCGTTGGTGATATTTTATAAACTAATTTTTTTGTATTTTTTTTTATTTAATAATAAAAGTAAAAAAATAAATGTCGCTAACGATGTTTTGACAAAAGTAATCATCAAATCTATATCCCACAAAGTAACGTAAATGTAACTTAAGCGACAAGACTAATTTTTTATTTTCCTAAAGATGTTCTTATAAAATATCGTATGCCACAAAATTTAATGAACATTTTAGATTGGATTCGATCTTACTTAAATATTTGAATTCTACATTAATAAAATAAAATAATGCCTCACCAGTTTTTAGATAAATAACTTTAAAAATAAAGCTCCCACACAAAAAAATCTCTTCTGTAAAATTTAGGTTTTGCTTACGATGTTTTGTCAAATAACCATCGATATATATGTTTAGTTTTACCAAAGTTTTATTAAGTTTTAATTAGTTTTAATAAAATTAATTTTTAAGGCAAATCCAAGTTAAAAAAACACATATTTCGAACAAAAATTATTAATATCGATATTTTTACTTGGATCTACTTTTGAAGAGTACGACCCTGATAAATGAACTTTTTTATAAAAAATAATCATTTTTTTTTAAATAATGATGATTTTAGTAACATATTTTAAATTAATTTGCTTCACCACAATAAAATATACTACAATTTTAAGACCCCTATAGGGTATTTTTTTTAAATCGAATTTCCTCGAAGGGAAAAATGAAAAAAAATTTGGAGTGTTCGCACTTTTGGGTTAAACGTAAATTGTAACCCAAAAGTATTTTTTCTACAGAACTCGTTATGTCATCTTAAGGTACCACTCTTCCTCTTTAAAATCCTGTTTAAATTTTACCATATCCTTTCTTCTCTTTAACTAACAATTGTTTAAAAAGGAGACAGGTAATTTAAAAAAATCATAAAGAATTTTGAAGGGAAAGAATAAAAGTGTTAAATGGCGTTTTAAAAATTTTGTGGAGAAAAAATACCTTGTTATGTAATATAACCTCAGTATAGGTACCTGGTATTTGTTTAAAATTTTTATAGAACTGTAATAATAATTAAAAATATATTTTAGGAACTTTGGCAGCAATCTCAGATGGAATGCACTATGGTTGGACTGCACCAGTGATACCAATCCTACTAAGCGATGAATCCCCTGTAGAAACCACCATGCACCAGGCAGAATGGCTGGAAACTATGCTGATGCTTGGAGCTTTCTGTGGACTGCCCGGAACGATTTATTTTGTGGACAAAATTGGAAGAAAATATTCCTTACTGCTTTCATCCATGACGACGTTGTTATGTTGGACTGTTATTGGAGTTGCTAATAGAATTGAGTATATTTTTGCTGCAAGATTTTTTAGCGGGATGGCAGGTGATATGGCTTTTGTGGCTGCTCCAATGTATATTGCGGAGATTGCTGATCAAAAAATACGAGGGTTTTTATCCAGTATTATATACTTGATGATGCTTATAGGAATATTTTTAATATATGCTATAGCTCCTTATACTCCTTTCTACGTGCCATGTATTATTGGGGGTGCTCTTGTTGTTGTGGAGTTAATAGTATTCCCATTTATGCCTGAATCACCTTACTATTTGTTAAGCAAAGATCGACCAGAGGAAGCCAAACACGCTTTAACAAGATTTCGTCAAACCAAAAATATCGAGAAGGAATTCGAAGAAATATCCATAGCAGTAAAACGTCAAAGAAGCGAAAGAGGTCGCCCACATGATTTAATTTTAGTTAAAAGTAACCGAAAAGCCCTACTTATAATGACAGTACTAAATGGATCACAACATTTCAGTAGTATAAGCGTAATTTTAATGAACCTCCATTTGATTTTGGAAGCTGCAGGTTCAATCTACATCGACCCCTCTCTAGCTGCAATCATATTCTCCATTATTATGTTTACAGCTGCTTGCACAGCTTCATTTTCAATTGACAAATTTGGTAGAAAAGTCTTACTAACCACCTCTAGTATTCTAACTGGATGTTGTCTCTTGATTATCGCTATATATTTTACACTAAAAAACACTGGTTACGATGTCTTACCTGTAAGTTGGATTCCTATAGTATCAGTTATGGTTTACGCAGCCTCGTTTAAGCTGGGTTTAGGCATGGTACCTATAGTGATGACAGCAGAATTATTTCCAACAAAAATGAAAGCTATCGGTATGACTCTCGCAGATGCTATGTATGTTATTTTCGCTATATTTTCAATACAAATATATCAACTATTATCTGACGCATATGGAATACATGTCCCTTTTTATATTTTTGCCTTTTCTTGCTTTGGAACTGCGATATTTACTACCTTTGTTATACCTGAGACAAAGGGGAAAACTTTGGAAGAGATACAGTTCATTTTAAAAGGTGTGGTACCACCTCCAAGCACGGTCGAAGAGAAGGAAGAATTTATATAATTATTTTAATTTTTAAATTTTTAAATCAATTATACTTATGTTTATTTTTTATATAAGTCAATGTTCAGTTAACTAATTAGGTACAAAGCTATACAATGTGATTTAGTATTAATAAAATAATATGTAATAAGTAAATGTAGTTTTACTTAAAATTTGTATAACAGTAATCACCAGTTGAAAATATATTGGATGTACTCTGGGTTGCCTATATTCGAGTACACAACTAAAGGAAGAGAAGTAAATCATTTTAGAAAATGTATTATTTAAAAGTATAAAACAATAAATTATTAAATATGTAAAAAATAATTCTATTGAACAATTTTTTTTATATACAGGGTGTTATGTAATTAATATTATATATTAAAATACTGAATATCTTTTGACATAAGGAGTAAAGGAAAAATATTTAAAAAAATATTTTTCCAAAGATAAAGAAAAAATATGCATTAGAAGTTTTTTATATTTTTTGTGATAAGCTACTGGTTACACACTTGGTTTATCTCTGCACACTTGTGTTCTGTGAGTACATAGATACCAACCAACGCGTTGCCAGATGTAAAAAATTGTGACTAAAAATTCTTCTTGCAAAAAATAAATAAAAACTCATTAAATTCAAAAGTTTTATGCCCTTAAAGCTCTAATACCCTTCTGTATTTATTTACTGATCAAGCTATTAGCTTAAGCAATGATTAAAAATTTAGTACCTATTTTAAAAAATCCATAACCACAAAATTAATTTTTTCATTAGTTTTTTTCTTTCTGTTTACTCAGATGAAATTGGGACCAGTTCACAGGTTAAACTTTAAACATTTAATTTGTGTAAATAAATCCAAAAGCACTTCCCTTAGTTAAGATATTTACAATTTGAGCACATAACCTAAAATTTGAAAGAAATGCACTAGATTCTGTCATAAAAGTTGGCAGATTTTGTTTGAATTTACCTTCAGTGCAAAAATGACATAACCAACAATTAATAAAAACGCCAAATTGACAATTTGCATTGTTAATTTTTTCATTTTTGTAATTACTTAAGCTAAATTTAAACAATGTTTGTCACACAAAATACAAGTTTGTCAACTTTTTTGACAGATTTTGGAAACACTGTTGTTACCAACCATAACATAATAAATTAAATTAGGCAACCAGATTAGCCTAAAGTTCCTAGTCGATCAGTGGCGTACTTTTTGGTAGGATAAAGGTTATTATAAATTATTTTTAGACTTTGGAATTTAGAAAAAAAAGTTTCAGGTGCTTCTTTATGGACCCTAAGGAACAACCCATTTTAATATATAACATTAATTACATAACACCCTGTATATGTATACATATAAGTTTTACCTTTAGTTTCAGGGAAACAACTTAATAAAGATAAAACAAAAAGCAGAAAATACACATGATTTTAATAACCATTTAGACAGAAAAATAAAAATTCATACAAAAATTCATAAATAACATCAGATAACGTCACCCATTTAGATTTCGTTTTGGCTGAAAATAGTTCAGCTTTAAGCCAAGCTTAAAAACTTAAATACTGACTGGTTCTATTTTTGTTGGAACACTTAAAATCCCGTACTTAACGTTGATTCTTGCAGGAACGCCAAAAGTCTTGTTGCGCAAGCGTCTGACGGTTTTAGACAGTTTGGTACTCTTGTAGGAACAAACCTATTGACGTAATTTAAATAGTTGTATTAACGATCGTTCACAGTACCCGATAAGGTTGTAATTAAAACTTTTTAAGCAATGAAAATAAATTTGTATTAATCTTGAGTTAAATTGAGTTAGGCTATATTTTTTATTTTTCTTTACTAGGGAACTACGATTTAATTATTGTTTTTGACCTAAATCAGTCTGCAATTGACATAAGCTATTTGAGTAAAAAAAATAACAAATAAATACCTCATAAACAATATTTCAAGAAAAAAAATAATAACACTGTGCAAAAAATAACTGGGTTTGGGCCGAGGGGTAAACCACTGATTTTTAAAAATTAAAAATCGTATACGAATTAACGGCTAAGCAGTGGCGGCTGGTGGATTTTATGTATACCAATATCTCAGTTATTAGACATGGGACCCACACCAAATTTATAATAGTTTATAATGACATTAAATAAACAAGTTCGGCGCAAACAGAATTTAAATTGAAGTTTGCGAAAAAAAGTTAGTTTTTCCTGTCGCCTCACCCACCTCCAGGCCCCCCTATTTAAGATAATTCAAATTAAAGTGGTGCAATTTATTATCTACTATAATTTATCGACAAATTTAAAATTTTATTTAAAAAATCCAAATATTACAGATTTTATTCGATTTTAAATTTTTATTTATTTTATTAAAATAACAAAAATATTTAAAATGGTATAAAACCTGTAATATTTGGATTTTTTAAATAAAATTTTAAATTTTTCAATAAATTATAGTAGATAATAAATTGCACCACTTTAATTTGAATTACCTGGAGGTGGGTGAGGCGACAGGAAAAACTAACTTTTTTCGCAAACTTCAATTTAAATTCTGTTTGCGCCGAAATTGTTTATTTAATGTCATTATAAACTATTATAAATTTGGTGTGGGTCCCATGTCTAATAACTGAAATATTGGTATACCCAAAATCCACTGCGGCTAAGGAAGGAAAGTCATGCGCAACGCGTCGATAAGAGAAATTTTTTATTGATAAGGATAACGACTGATAGGAAAAAAATCAGAACAAAACGTTCAAAATTGGTTTTGCTGATTTTAAAGTAGTTTACACCTTGGTATCAACCAGAAAAAAATAAATAAAGTATTACAAAAAAATTAATGCGTATTTCTAGGTTTTTTCGTATTGGCCTTAGATTTTAAGATATTATATTTTTAATTAAAATTTTTTTTATTTATTAAAATTATAAAAAAAAAATATATTGTTTTGTTTAACTTTAAGGGAACAATAAAAGCTACTATATTTATAATACATTTGTTTTTAACATGAAGTTCCTTATTATATATTTTCGCCGAGCATTTCATTGCCAAAGCAAAAGCCGAGGATGTAGATTGTGTGCGAGGCAATGAATAAGCTTTCGCCACCGAGTTTTATGTACTAATTTTTTTTAAATATTTAATTAAATAATTTCTCAGGATCCTCTCACATCATTTTTAGGTAAGGTTAAACTGACATGATGACATTTTAGCTTTATTTCTGTACGGGATTTAATAATAATTTGATTTTTAAACTGGTATTAATATGAAATCTTTCTATATAGACTTGTAAGCTTGAAAAAATCTCAAAACAAGTATTCATATTTTGTGATACTGTATTAATTTTTTCTGACCCCAACACAGCTATTTCTTTTTCATCAAATTTTGTCGCACAGTAATTATTTGTCGAAAATTTGTATTACCCATTCATTATTTCTAAATTAATTTCAGTTTCATTAATACACAGATACCTCCAAAAATGTTGGTGTGCCATTTTGTCATTTTTACTAATTAATGGGGGGAACCATTTTTTTAAGTACTTTTACGAAAAAAACCGTATTTCATTTTGTTGCACACGTGTGTTGGTCTATCAAAACTTTTTTGGCCCAGGGCGCTAATTCCATTAAATTTGACCCTGTCTAAAATTACGGACGAAAATAAAGCCTTTTATAATTAAAAAAAAATAATAATAAAATTTTATAAAACTAATTATATATGTGTAGTAGAGTAAGAAGCTTATCAACTAAATAAAGTTTTATTAAAAATCTATCCAAGCACCTGTAACAGTTGTATTGAATGTACTCTTGGTTGCCTATATACTTAAATCAATATTTGAAAAATTTAAAATAGTTTAAATATAAAATGGGGTAATATTATAAAGTCCTTTATATATTTATCTCAAGGCACATCTGGGGTTTTAATTCTTAACCAAAATATTCTCCAGGCTTTTATATGTTAAATAAAACTGCATTTCGTTTAAAACCATTTTAGTATGCAATTAAGCCTGCAAAAACACAATTGCAATAGTAAAAAGTATGTAAATGTGGCTTAGTCTAAAACTGTGCAAACAAGAACACATGAAGAAATAAACTCTACATTAAAACGTGTTTTAATTAAACCTAAATAATACAACAGTATAAAAACAATATTACTATTACTGCACCTACATTCTGTAAAACAGAATCATTTTTTTCTTGAATAGGTTTTTTTATTCCTTAATAAATAAACTGAATTTCCTCCAAGGTCCTACCTTTATTTTCAGGAAAAAAACAATGTAAATCAGGTCGTTATAACGCAGGAACCTAAAAAAAGTAAAATAACGCAAAAATTGATTCGATAACCATTGATACAAATAAATAGAAAGCATTAGCTAACGTCATCCCTATGGCTTTCATTTTGGCTGGGAATTATTCAGATGTAAGTTCTATGTACCATACCAAAGCCTAGCTTAAAAACACATGCATAGAACATTACCGATACTATAGGTAATCAGCTTATAAACAACGTCCACTCCGTAATCTTTTAAGTTGAAGTATACAGCTATTACTAGTAAACGCATTATTTTCTTACTGATGGCACAGTAGCAGCACCAATCGTAATTACAGCAAATATTATGGCAGTCATTGACCTTTCAATGTAACATCCAGCAGATTTCAGATTTAAGTGAAGATTCATATAATCATATACCGTACTGCTAAAATGTTAAGCCCCATTCAATAAAGTCATTATAAGCGGTGTTTTTCTGTTGCTGTCTATTAGAATAAGATACTGTGGTCTTCCTTTTGTGTCTTTTAATGGTAACTGTACACTGAGCTGTCACAAGTCACTTCTAAAAAGACTTAAGTCATAAGTCGTAAGTCTTTTTTGAAATAAAAATGACTTAAGTCTTAAGTCATTTTTTCTATAAAACAGAAAAGATTTAAGTCTTAAGCCTTTCAAAAAGACTTAAGTTTTATTAAAAATGACTTAAATCAAATATATAACGACTTAAATCTAGAAAAAGACTTAAGTCATTTTTAGGGACTTAAGTCCCTAAAAAGACTTAAGTCGTTTTGAGATTTAAGTATTTAAGTCGTTTTATAGGTTTAAGTCGAAAAAAAAAAGATTTAAGTCGAAA